TTTCCCCACTGAAAAACATTTTGTGAAGAGATCAGTGCATATTTCTACAAGGGTGATAGGTGTGAAAAATGGAGATTGAGTTTTAACACACTCGCATCATTGCACAATCCCAATTTTTGAACATTTTGAGATTATTTATTCATCAGCAGTGATAGATTTGAAGACTCCATCTGAGTGCAGCTGGAATCATGCTGGTGAGCCACTGCTTAAGCTGCTAACCACGAACTGAGTGAGCTGAAATTTACAAAGCAAGAGCACTGCTGAAACATCCATAATGGATTTTTGCTGTAGGTCATCTAAGTCCCCCAAACAAAGAGCATGGGAATTACAGATGCTTGGTAAACCAGCACTCCTACACGCTTCAGAGATTTGAAGCAGTTACGCCCCAAAGCACTGGAGAAGTATTACCCACAGTGCCTTCACAAATCCTAGGGTTAGAAAAATGATCCGACAGTAGCATCCTCTCTCTTAACAGAACTTGCCCATCAATGAGGTGCTAATCGTTTTAATCTAGCTCCTCGAGGTGGGACACATAACTCACATTCTTAACTCCTGAAGCGATTGTTCTACTCAGAATGTTAAATAGGAGACTCCCAGGAGTAGAACATAAATGCTTTAGGGATGTCCTTAAAGAATCTCTGAATAAGTCAAACATTCTTTTAAACCAATAGAGACTCTGATTTCTGACTGACTAAAAGGGAGAAGCACACTTGGAATGTCCTGGAACACACCGAGAAACTCATAGAAGAGAAGTTGAGGCATCAGTGAGAGCCCACAAATCTCCAACTACCCAACTCCTCAACTACCACTTGCCCGACATGTGAGACAGTCTGCAGATTGAGCGTTGGACTTATTGGCCATACCAGAACTCATTGAACTTGGGTGGAAGCAAGTCTTCCTCAATCTTGAGGGGCTGCATAAGAAAAAAAATGGCTTTTTGGCAGAATGATCAGAATGTACCAGAATGTAGAATTGAGGAAACTGGAGTATAGGAGATGGCAATTTAGTCCATCACGTCTGTGCTGATTCAGTCGCCTACACACTAATCAAGTGCTCTCTCTGTCTCATCATTACAGTTGGTAAACTATGATATATCTGATCAATTACTGGCTTTGCTCCTCTGAGAATAATGACCAGATATTTCAGTATATCAATATTAAGCAGAGGATTGTTTTGCTGTGATTCCAGTTACCAGAACACCTTGAGATGGTATTATTTTTGAGGGTATGACCTCTAGAATCCTTTATTACTGCATAACTTGTGATAATGATGATCTGATCTTATGGCAGAATGAGATCTTCTTATTTAAAGTGATGTTTCAGCCTTTTTGTGCCATAACATATTTGAAATCACTTGCAAAAAAGCATAAATCTAATCAAAGTTTTTGTCAATTTTTGTTTCCCCAACGAGACTTAAAAATTGCAAAATCTAAATGTTGAAAGTAATATACAGTGCCACAGTCAGCAATATATTCAAATGTACATGCAAAGCTAAATTTGGACTACGCAAATCAGTGCATCTTGGGAATGGTACACACTGCTGCTACTGAATGTTGGTGGTAGAGGGAATGAACATTTGTGAATGTGATGCCAATCAAACCAGCTGCTTTGTCCTGAATGATGTTAAGCTCTGAGTTTTGATGCAGCTACATTTGATCAAAGCCCTGACTTGTGCCTTGTAGATGGTGAACAGGCTTTGGGGAGTCAGGAGGTGAGTTACTTGCCTCAGTAATCCTAGCCTCTGGCAAGATTCCTCCTTATTTGTTTACCAAATATTTTAACATGGTAATGGATGGCATATGAAAGCAGCAGGGGCTAGAGGGGCTATGGGACATATGAGTGAACAAGAAAGTGGAGGAGCTGAGGGGCTGTAATGAGTGAGTGGTAGAGAGCCTAGTAGCATTGTATACAACCGGGTCAAGATCCCAGGAACAAAGGCAGGACTTTTAACCAGCCTAGCACAATGGTCTCCTACCTCCAAAGGGCCTCCAGAAGTGGAGGGTTCAACTTCATTCTGCTTCCTCCTCCAAGATGGAAAATCTATCAGGTTTTGGGGTGAGGGAGCAAACTTATAAAGGAGCTGGCAATTAAGGAGTTTTCCCAACTTGACTTTCCCAATGTTCTGCACAAACGTCTGACCTGCAAGGTCTTCCTGAATTGCGAATACAATCGTACAAAATCCATGGGGTCAAAAAGGCACAGGAAATAGCTTTTCCTGAAAAATACTTCTGTGCTTGCCTCCACGGGGATATGAAATTCCAACTCTGTGTCTGAATATCTGTGAAAAGCACCAGGGCAGGTTACTAATACTTACTGTAATATTTCAACCATAATTCATCAGGACTTCTAATGCATGACATTCCTTGACTTTTTTTTAGCACATTCATAAAACATCATGTATCTTGAATCTAAGTTACTACTCTTGGTAAGTAATGGGCACTGAAGCAATTCTAATTGGATTCCATGCTATGTTGGTTCTTTGCCAAATTTCCTATTACTGTCAATTCAAGATAAATGCATAGTGGATCTGAACAGAGTTGATACACACGAGCAACTGACCATAATGGCCCAGACACCATGTAAAATTGATGCCAAAGCTGAAAGTCTAAATTCAAAACAAAATGCTGGAAATGGCCTGGCAGCACCTGTGGGGTTAGAAAGAGAGTTCACTCTTCTTTATCCATAGATGTTACCAGGCTTTCTGAATATTCCATCACCCAAACTGTAGACTCAACATTCTTTTTCCACCTTTGTTTCTTCTGTTGCATAATATTTCAGTTTTCTAGCATTAACTGCTTTTCTTTACATCAACAGAAAGCTTTCTGCATTGTAAAAAGTAATATGTGGAAGATGATGTATGTCCGACATCAGCAGAGGAGAACAGATCAGAGACAAACTTGCAATGGAACAGGAGTAAGACACTGCAATAGAGAGCTGTATTCAGTAACAGAAAGATAATACCATGTCAATAAAGAGTGTGACTGTCCTGAAGACAGTTTGAAAGCCTTACTCCATGGTAAGGACAAACTAGGGATGCTCGAGAACACAAGCGGCAACCAATAAATAGAGAACAATAAGTAGAGTAAAAATCCATCTGGGTCACTAACACCCTTTAAGGAAGCAAACTGCCATCCTTACCTAGTCTGGCCTAGGTGTCATTCCAGAACCACAGCAATGTGGTTGACTTTTACTTGCCCTCTGTACAATTTTGGATGGGCAACAAATGCTGGCCTTGTCAGTGGCACCCATTCTCATGGATGAATAAAAGAAAGCCCTGATGAGCATACGTGTAGTCACCAAATGGTGAGAGAACTTAAATTTGACTCAGAATGCTCATAAAGCAAACTAGCCATGGTATTCACATCAAGCATGTCAAAGACCATACTTAACGCCTAGAATCCCTAGAACTAACAGTGGTTATGATTGAGAAGAATTATCTTTGCTCAGTAGAAAGGCTCTGTTGCTGTAGCACAACCTGCACAGTCCCATATTGCGACAAGTATCCCTTACATTCCACCCTACAGGTTGATTTTCTTTGTAATATTTTCAACTCACGATTTGATAATGACATCTTTAAACACTAATTGGAAACTTACTGTATTAACCCAGGTGTCCTTTGGACTTATTTCAGTAAAATATGAATAAAAATCATTTGGAAAAATTACTCGATAAAATTTCTGCAAAACTCATTGTCTGAAATTCCTTGGAACCACCAGCAGAGTAATCCTTCACAAACCTGCATTAGTAAATTCACTTATTTAAAACAGACTTTGACGATCAGATTGACAGCCTTCCCAACCGATCAAGAGATAATTGAGTACAAATTCAATTATGGTTCACTGAAATTCTGCAACTAAAGTTTTGCAGGTGAAGAAAATAATATTTTAATGGCCATTTATACAAATCAGGGACTGGGGCTTGGGTTTAACTCATTTCTTGGTTGGAAAAATTGAGGCCTTCATTTAAATATTTTAACTATGGCAAACATTGTTCAGGTTAACAGTACATACCTTCCTGAAGTAATGATCTTCCAAAAATGAACACTGTTCAACCATTAAGACATAGGCTGGTATCAGTGATGTACAAAAACAGACCTGAACCCTGACAGATGTGATTTGATAGAATTAGACTTAGACAAGACCACAGGTGCTCATGGGGGATGTTATTCATTTAGAGAATGAACAAATTTCTACTTTTAATAGCCAATATCAGAATTGGGGCAGATGTGTTACACTGGGGACATGCACAGTGAAGCTCTTCATACTCATACAGAACAACATTCGCTAACTACTTGACATCAGGAGAGCAAACCTGTGCGAAAAAGTATGAATTTTCACATCCAGCAGACTAGCCTTGGATTCTTGTGACAGAGAATGCCAAAGACTGGGCAGTTTGCATGTAATCTTTACAAACTAATAACTTGTCATCTCCTTTGGTACAGGCAGTTAAAGCAGTGATCAGATGGGCTGTATAGCTCTGACTGCCACTAGTCATATCCCAAACTATACTGAGGGTTGCTGAACTCATGGGCAGCTCCTTGCTCCAGCGTCTTCATTACATGTGGCTAATTGCACACCATCATATCTCATCCAATGCTGAATGGATGTCTGGCCTAAATGTGTTATGGTTAAAGTCTGAACTGCAAGAATCAGAGCTCAAAACTACATTAGTGCTGTTGTTTGAAGGCACAATGTGGCCAGGATAAGAAAAAAGCTCTCTGCTCTGCATCAAATAGATTAATAACAAATCACATGTCAAACTATAACACTCCTTCAGCACAACTCTGTAGCAGTAGACGGACTCTCTAGCATAGCCTTCCGGTTAGATTTGGAACCATTGTCTTCTGACTCAAAAGTTAAAGTTAAAGCATCTGAACAAAGCTGATTTTGACAACTTCCACCATTATCGATTTTAAGCGTAAAATGGTTGGTCATGGAAGTTGCCTATATAATGTGTGACGACAGGTTTAAACACCAACGTAATTATTAATCTACAACTCACCACATCAATTATCTGCATTAAGGTCACCCCAAGATCAACAGTGAGCGGCTGCGAATCATTCAGTACAGGGCGCTCCAAGCGATTGTAATTTTTCAGCAAGTCCCGGTAGAGTTTTCTTTGGTGTGCACCCTGCTGTGAAACTCCACACAAAAATTGAAAACTGTCAATTTTCATGAAATTGTAACCACCACGTATTAATAAGCAGTATCTCAATACATCTAAAATTATTTTCTCAAACTGTTTTAGAAATCTTTCCCTGTAGAAAATATGCTCTATCTTGAAAACTTTACAAGTTACGATGTGATTATTAAAATACTAAAGCATTATTAATTTACTCATAGCTTTACATTAAAATGTAAAAATCTCAAACTGGTTAATTTAAATTATGTATCACATATTCACAAATCATAACAATACAAAATAATGCACCATCTGGATGTGTTAGAGAGGCAAGTTCAATTGTAGCATTCAAAAGAGCATTTGTATATTTAAAAACCAAAAGAACTATGGATGCTGTAAATCAGGAACAAAAACTGAAGTTGTTGGAAAAGCTGAGCAGGTCTGGCGGCATCTGTGAAGAAAAAAATCAGAGTTAACATTTCAGGTCCAGTAAACCTTCCTCAGAACTGAGCTTTTCCAGCAACTTCTGTTTTTGTTCCAGCATTTGGTATTTATTTGAATGGAAATCATTAGTGAAATTCAAGGAAAAGGCAGGAGAATGGGCTTCAGTTATCATACTTATTTGGACAGCCAGTACAGACACAATGGGCCAATGGACCTCCTTCTGTGCCATAACAATTTTGCAATTCTGTAAACAAAGTCTTCTTTGAAAAAATCCTGGGCAAATTCTGTGTTAATTAATGGCAATACAAAATTCTCTTTTCCAGTAATTCATTCTTGCTGGGTTGAGTAAGTGGAATATTTGGCACTATTAGGTACAATGCTTTCCTTCAGTCATAACCTCATGCCAACTCTCTCCACCCATCATAGTAAGTGTTAATCTCAGGACAGATATACCCATATCAACAAAGCCTCAATGGTGGTACAACTCAAATACAACATAAGAAGATGTCCTTGATGCAGCTACTAGTAGAGATCAAAGCTGCAGAAAGCTCAAAGAAATGCTCCTATTCCTAACTTTCAAAGATCTTGAACTATCTGGACAGAAAAAGAAGCAAAGATTTTATTTTTAAGCATTTTGCTGAAGCCCTTGTTAAAAAAAAGTGAGAACTAATACATTGAGAATATTAAAAATCTCTTGTATTAATTAATTACTCATTCCATCAAGATTTGTTAAAATTTTCAAACGGTTACGAAGATTTTAACCCCAAACATAGAAGGGATTCAAAGTGACACATCAGTACCAATCATGCTTGATACATTAGGATTGATCAATACAACAAGGAAAGGGGAACTCATTTCAGAATAAAGTATTTGTTCAAAGTTCAACAAATGGGTTAGCTATTTCCTTCACAAAGGTCTGTCAGTTCAACTTTCTGCTTAAATCCCAACCTGTTCCAAAGGCATAATTCACTGGGTTATGCATTCATGTGTCCCTCGATTAAATTTCCATTCATCAAAAGCCCTCTGACACCCAAGTTATCACTGCACACTGAAGAATATTCAATTATTCCCGCATCACCACTATGCAACACTGGCCGCCTGGTCTGCAGCAACATTAACCATCTGTCATTGTCATTTTGTAACTGAGTTAACAGTTAGGCACCCTCAGGCAAAATAGCTACACTCTACTTGTCACCTTTCTCTTGATAACACATTGCAACTGGGATTTCACCAAGATGAGAACTGTTGGCATGAGCTCAACATCTTTCAATATGTGGCACATAGACTGAAGCAATTTTCTGGGTTAGTGGATAAATAAAGAGAAAGCTTACTCTAGTTTTTAATTTGAAATGACATAGAAATATAGAATTTACAGTCTGGGAAGAATATTCAGGCATTGGCATCAGTTATTTTAATTCAATTTCACTTCTCTAACATGCAGAAATGCTTTACAGGGAATTAATTTCTTCTGGTCAATATATCTTACAAAATCACAATTCTATTCAAAATTAATGCACTTTTCATTTCATTCTGAATACTGTCTTAAGAAATAATCATGAAACCATTTGTAACTCTCACAGCACATAGCAATGTTGCCTTCACATGCTTAGAGGATGGGGGGAGGAGTGCTGGAACTGTTTGGAAGGGCATATAGTGGAGAGGAAACCTGGTGAAGGTGAGGTCATTAGAGAGCCTGTTAAATAATAAAATTCTGCTGTTAAATAAGTGCTGCCTTAAGTACTGAAGGACTCAATGTTTGAGCAATGCTGATCTTGCTCAGTCTGCTGTCATCCCTTGGCCTCTGGGTTGACAATCAGTTAGCTAAACTCTGGCACGGCCTCTCAATGGTGGTAGGCATGTCTTCACTTCCCCTCATTAGTAATATATTTAATAGTATGGAGTTACTGTCACATAGTAAACCACATCTAGTTTTCTAAGGACAAGAACCTCTCTGCCAAAACTTACTCATGGCATGTTCTCCGCTGCAGATTCCTGAACAGCCCTTCAGAATTACATAAGAGGGACGATGGGTAGTAGTACTCTTCCACAACCAAAAGCTGTCATCAGTTCTCACCCAGACATGGTGTTTACTACAACATGGAGCTGGATTTTTTGTAATGCCTGTTGGGTGTGGTATCAGTAAATGGATACATAACATAGGCTTGGTGGTTAACTCACCACTTTCATGACCACCGCCAAGCTCACCTCCATGATGCAGAGGAGGTCTACATAAAAACATAAATCAAGAGTCAGTTGAGCTCTGATGCCGTTACAACACTGTCCACCCAAAATACAATCTGCGTAGACAGGAGAATGGGAATGGGATTCCTGTTTGCAAAAGAAATTTATAAAGTGGCAGAGAAAAAGGTGGTATACTTCAGGGGTGCTCTTTATGCATTGGGAAGCACCTTCCCTGAATTCGGTATCTACTTTATTTCCCATCTGCCTGCTCTGAAAAACCTATCTACACACCCCTACCCCCTACAAACCCATCCAAACACTCTCCAACCCAGTATCCCAAACCTACCTTGGGCTTGCCTGCAGTACTAACACAACCCACAACCGAGCTCTCAGTGCCACCAGTACTGCTAGAGGTGCCTGCCAATGGTCAGCAAGGCAGGACTTCCTCTTAAGCAAGGGGCAAATATCCCGCAATTAGTTATTTTAGCTCAACTGCAACACCCAATGGCTGCAATACAGGGTTCCAATTCATTAGCTGGCTTTGAGCCAATTTTACTTCTGGGAAGGATAAGCAATCCACCCTCCCACCTTCATAATTTTCAGCCTATGTCAGTGTCAGTGGTGGGAATCAGTGACTAATACCACATACTGGCAATGGTAAACATGTGGTATAAAGTCTAGATGGTACCAACAGAAAAAAAACAAAAGATCTGGAGAAAAAAGATGTTGTTTTTGCAAACAAATTGAGTTAACACTTTAAGAACAGTTCCGCTTTGAGAAATGTTCAGCTATTCACTGAACAGATGAAAGTGTTTCAACAGACATTAGTCAGCACAGGCAGACAGCGGCTGTAAGAACATTGTAGCCGAACTCTGAGGTGAAATGCAAGCCTGAGGGAGAGAAGTGCAGAGCAGTTATGTGTGTCACACTGAGACAGAGATGAGCAAACCCGAGTTAGAATTCCACCCAGAATCAAGAGACATCACGGATTCCAGTGGTTAAATTAGACGCTTTATGGAAAAGAGCACAAAACATACCGAAACATGGTAAAACGCTTGCTAAGAGACTGGAAAACTAAAACAGGAAAGCTTGCTGGTAAAACATGCATTGCTGCAGTCATGAATAGGTGTTGGATAAAATATAGTTGCAAAATTTAGTTGAAAATATGGGAAACAACTTTGAACATCACAGGTCCACTACAAAATAAAGGTTTAGGCAAGCAATAAAGTTCAGAGGCAAGAAAAATTTTATGTAAAAAAAAATATGTTTATGGTGGAAAGCGCCCAAATACACTACTTTTTCCTTGAAAATGTGCAAGTCATCCGAAGAATAGAAGTTTGGAGTTCTTCATATTGTTCAAAAAGGTAAAACATTTTTACAAGAATTGAAAAAGGCAGGAATTCCTTGACTTTCATTGGAAAAACTAGGAATATTATACAAATGCTTTGCAAGAAAGTTTTGAACAGTATTTACAAGCTTTGAACTAAGGTTCTTGAGTAGATTTGTAGCTCGGGTTGTGGAAGCTGTGGTTGGTTTACTCGCCGAGCTGGTTCGTTAGTTCGCAGACGTTTCATTACCCTGCTGGGTAACATCATCAGTGCAGCCTCCAATGAAGTGCTGTTGTGTTTTCCAACCTGGTATTTAAACTCTGGGGTCTACTGGTTACCTCATTTCTGGTATTTCTTCACAGTGGCGTAGATATAGGGTCTAATTCTACGTGTTTATTGATGGCCTTCTTGGTGGAGAATCAGGCCTCATGAAATTCCTGTGCTTGTCTCTGTTTGGCCCATCCTAGGATCCTGATGTTGTCCCAATCAAACTGGTGGTTCTCCTTATCCATGTGAATGGAGACAAGTGAGTACTGGTCATGTCTTTTTGTTGCTAGTTGGTGTTCATGCATTCTTGTGGCCAGTTTCACACGTGTGCCTTCATTCACATGGATAAGGAGAACCACCAGTTCAGTTGGGACAACATCAGGATCCTAGAACAGTCCAAACAGAGACAAGCATGGGAATTTCTAGAAGCTTGATTCTCCACCAAGAAGGCCATCAATAAACAAGTAGAATTAGACCCTATATATACATTGCTGCAAAGAAAAACCATAAATGAGGCAACGAACGGACTCCAGAGTTGAAATACCAGGTGGGAAAACACAACAGCGCTTCATCGGAGGCTGCACTGATGATGTTATCCAGCAGGGTAATGAAAAGTCTGCAAACTAACGAACCAGCTCAGCGAGCAAACCAACCACAGCAAGCTTTGAACTGTTTAAAAGAACTTCAAAACTTTTACCAGAGGAATATTGTTACAGTACTTTTAAGGTTTAAATTTTAAAAACACCAGAGTTTCACAAGAGAAAAAAAGAGATTTTCAGAGCAGGAAGCAGTAACTTACA